ATGCGCCATAAGCCAGTGCTGACCGAATGCACTTAGAGTACACCTCTCTTGCTTTAGCTAGCCCCAGACCCCATGTCACCGCCCCAATTCTCGTCAGAGCATAGCTCTGGGTCTTCAGCTTCCGCTCTACTGCTCCTAGGTGTGCCTTCCAATTAAGCTTCCAATAGTACTTGGTATATAAGTAACTATTGCTTGTAGTAAAGAGACGCCTTCACTAGACAGTAATAAATTGATGCCCTAGTTACCTAGATAGTGATAGCCATTATCTCCAAACTAACCCCAACCTAGAGTACAGTCCAAGGCGGTAGACTCAAGTAGTTTGCTTGCTTCCCTGAAAACGGGCGAATTCTACATGCGATTTGTTCAATTGAGCGACCCGATGCGGCGGCGATGCGGGCTGAGAATGACTTGCCTCCTCTCCGGCAAACTTGGTCGTCTTGGTCTCAAATTAAGTGCAGAGCTCAATTACATGTTGGATAAAGATAGTGGTCCTCTCAAATCGTCGCTGAGATCCTACAAATCGGTTTGAATGGGCCGACAGAGTCATCATCAGCCTCCATTCTCTGGCGCCTTCTTGAAAGACGCGGCGACGTGGGCTGCATGCGACGTCCAGTCACTCCAGTGCGCTGTGATGCGGGCTGCAATGTACACAGTAGGCTGCAAGGTGACTTGTGCTTCCTTTTGTTGGGCAATGTTTTTTGGCGGGCTCTGAGTGGTTGTATGGTGCAGGTTTGGTGGGCCACTGTTGAGTGCGCCAACTCATCACAGTCCAGCGGAGGCATCTTCGCAAGTTCTCAACAAAAAGAGATTGACTGGAGCGCGATTCGAACGCGCGCCTCTTTCGAGAGTAGAATTCGCCCGTTTTCAGGGAAGCAAGTAAATTACTTGAGTCTACCGCCTTGGACCGCTCGGCCATCCAGCCCTGTACGTTAAAATTTAGTAAGTATTAATACTACATATAGGTATGTTGGCTTTGTACCCTTTTCGCCCACATAATTTGGCAACTTACACACAGTCCGGAATCGTCAACAGCTTCAGACTGACATGTTCGTCGAGTCTTTTCATGGTCGTATAGTACTTTGTCGTAGCCCGGCTCTAGACATGTGAACTTGACTGCTTTGACTGACTGCTTTGACAGGGTGGGCCGAGTGATCCTCCTTGATAGGGGCTTGAAGGTTGTCGCGCCGAGTAAACGACCGATGGCAGCTGGGCTCAGGGCAAAGGATCCTATTCGGATGCGATTCTGCAACGTGCTCTACCAGGTCCTTGAACTGGGAAAATTTCTTCGGGTCAAGGCAGCGAAGCCCGGGGGACTTGCCCGCATGCTTTTGTGCGCCGATTAGGTAAACGACAAATCGCAGCCGGCTCCCACTAGACTGACGGGTCCCAGCCTGGCTCTGTGCACGGAAGTCTGACGTTCGGCTCATACGAGTGCCGCCCCTTGGCATATGTGTCACAGGCCCTACGAGAAGTGAAACACTATTCGCAGCATGGAACAGGGCATAGGTATATCCTGCGCGACTGCATCTCTTTGAGATATGAGGCGAGGACTTCGAATACCTAGGTGACAAGACTGTTCTGACAGCCACGTACGAGACTGTGTTGACTCTTGTTGAGCTCCTCTCGCGGCTGTGTTGTCCCTGTGCGAGTCGATTTCCTCCCGTCCGATCGACCTCAAGCCGTTTGCGTTGTCAGATTACAGCAGAGGCTGACTAGCCCCTGAGTCTCGGTTCTCGCTCAACCTTGAAATATCCATCCACCAAAGGCCGCGAGCCGTGACCACTAAGAGCCGTATCTCCGTCGCCGTGAAGAATGAACCCCCCTTCCCCCCCTGTTTTGAAGCGTCGTCGAGCTGCTTCTCTCAGAGAGGACGCTTCAGAGCAAGGTGGGTGACTATCTTCCTTTCCCCTTCCTGGATGACGCTGACCCTTGTAGCAGAAGACAGCGGTACTCGTCCGTAGAAGGACAAGGACTACTCAACCAAAAGACGCCGTATACTCCCTCTTCCAGCCCCCTGTCCCACTCAGGAACCGTCGTCCCCCACTAGCACCACTCTCGGTCAACGTCCACCTGCTCTACTGCTGGGGGCACTGCCTTTTCCAAAAGTTCAAGACCATCAAGAACGGGCGGCCGGTGGGACTTCGGGAGCAGATCGCCTTTTGAGCCTAGATCAACGGGGATTCCCATTTTTACCCTAGATCGGCGATCTCTTCAAGGCGTCACTCTGTCGGGCTCGAGACCACGGCGTGGCAATTTAATCCGGGCTTCGTCTGCCCTGCCCCGGCTCCCCCTTTGACCCCGTGGAACACTAGGATTTTTTCCTTTGCACCGTCACGGTCGACAGTCAGGCCACCAACATGGTCATACGTAAGTTCGCTCCCAGTTTCTAGGACAACATCTGCAAGATACCTAATCATAGCCGTACCGCCGAGCCACCAGACTGGCGACTAGATAAGAACATTGGCAGCTGCTCGTGGGCTGGCGAGTTCGAGACCGAGTTGCAGTCTCCAAGTCGGCAACCACCTATACTCCCCTTCGAGTTCCCTCTCGTCCCAATCGAGGTCAGGCTTAATAGGACGACAACGCCACCTCTCCAGTACACCCTCTACACCAATGCCACT